GTGTACCTATCAGGTGCTCTCCCTACTCTGCTTATCGCCCCCCAGAGTGCATTACTACAGCACCCCAGAATAAGCACATACCATCCATCTACCTGTAATAGCTTTTTTTGCACCTGCATCCATGGTTTTTTTTCATATTTTGGCTGATGCCCTGAGTCGGTTTAATTCTGACCTGTGAGTCTGAGCATAGAGTAGAGTGGAGACATTTTTTTCAGAAATGAAAATACAGGGAAAGCCCATGTTGTTAGCAGCAGCTGGGTGCTTTTATAGTCTAGGATAACTAGACAATTTTTTATGAATACCTTCACAAGTGGATAGTTGTACCCATAGGGTTAAAGGCTTTGGTTTTCTGATCATTAGTTTATTCTTTCTCTTTTAAACTGCTTCCAGTTTGCTTCTCTAACACAGGCTGTCTTTTCTGCTTGATACTTTACAACTCCCCTAAAGCATTCTTGTTGAGGACTCAGAGATAAGGTACCAGTTAAAAACAAACAAACAAACAAAAAAACCCCCAACACTTTGAAGAGAAATATTGACTTAGGAAAGTCTTTCTTCTGCGGATCTGCATCCAGTGAGTGGATGTTTATGCATCCTTGTAAGATAGGCAGTTTCCTCAAGGATCTCAGGGATGGGAATGCAACATTACCGTGCAGTCCTTTTTCTCTATTTGGCTTGAAGGATTTCAGGAAAATGGTGAACCGATACTGTGATACATGAGGCCTCTTCCATAAAGGTAAGTGGCTGTGATAAAATCTTTGATTGCCGGCATCGTATCTTCCAGGCTAATGGTTTTTTTTCTGTTACTTGGGCTTTTTTGTTCTGTGTATACCCAGTTCCTTTAAATTTTAACAGCTTGATTTTTTTCTTGGTGTATTTCCATGCTTTATTTCTGTGCAAAATCTTGAAAGCTTTTATGAAGCAAAACACACACAGAAGTCAGGGATTTGCTAACCTCAAACACCAAACTAAGCTGAGAGAGTGTGAGAGAGGTCAGGATGTATTTACCTTATGTAATTATCTATCTCATTTCTTCTGGATCTAGATTACAAAAAGGACACAGAGGCCACCCAAGAGTTGTGGCATTGTATTGGGTCTGGCTGGGATGGAGTTAACCTTCCCCACTGCAGCCCACATAGAGCTGTGCTTTGTGTTTGTAGCTAGAAAGGTGTTGACAACACGTCAGCGTTTGGGCTACTGCTGATCAGTGCTCACACATCAGGGCTGTCTCTCCAGCATCGTCCCCGAAGGCCCAGTGGGCTAGGGGTGGGCAAGAGGCTGGGAAGGGACACAGCCAGGACAGCTGACCCAAACTGACCAAAGGCATATTCCATACCATACAATGTCATGCTCAGCAATAATAGCTAAGAGAAAAGGCCAGGGGCTGGGGGTGGGGCATTTGTTAGTAAGGTGTTTGTCTTCTACAGCAACCGCTATGTGTACTGGGGCTGTACTTCCCATGAAGTGGCTGGACATCATCTGCTAATGGGAAGTAGAGAATAAATAATTTTGCTTTCCTTTGCTTCCAAACGCAGCCTTTGCTTTTACTCATTAAATTGCCTTTACTGACCCATGAGTTTTTCATCTTATTTTCTCCCCCTGTCCTTCGGAGGAGGGAGAGTGATAGAGCAGCTTGGCAGGCACCTGGTGGCCAGCCAAGGCCAACCCACCACAGGCATACCCTGGCTTAGATGCATCGTGCTTCTTAGAAGGAATGAAATAATGTCCTGGCCCAGCTGAAAGCCAGGGTTCATCTTTATATCAGCATCACACCTTGATGCCTGACCCTGCATGGTGCTAGCAAAGAACTAGCAAAGCCGAGCTCTGCTCCAATACCTGAAATATCTCTGCACATGGTTTCTACGGCATCTTTCTAAAGTCCTCAGGATTCTGAGTAACTCATGAGTAAAATGTGTAGCAAACAATAATATAGATTGACCATCCAGAATTTGGTAAACTACTGAACAGTATCTGAATTACACCATGACTGGAGCCACCTTGTTAGAAAGCTTGCTGAAAACAGGTGCTTGCTGTGGAGCAATCCCTGACCAGTTATCAGTTTGCTGATCCTTGTAACAGAAACCTTGGAAGGGCTGACAGTCACCAAAAGAAAGCAAATACAAACCAGTTTTAGAAGACACACTTTTTTCTCTTACATCTGATAGTGAAGGACAAGACAAAGAAGACTTTGAAAGCTGCTGTAGAGAGAACACTTTTACAAGCCATTTCAGGTAGCAATCTGTGAGAACAATCCTCCTTAATTTATGCTGATGACTGTTTTCAGGTTTTGAAATGTTCTCCTTTACTTGTTAACTCTTATTCAGCAAATACAAAGAAATCAAATGTAAGTGCAGCCATAAAGCATGAAGAGGAAAAATATATCAGGAAAGTGCTCTTAAAAACATCAATTAGGCAATAAAATGTCTTCAGCTTAGGCCATTTGGTTAGCATCTGTGAATGCTTTTGTGTTCTGCAGCTGGGAAAACACCAGTTTGTAAAATCTCTTTAGCTAGCAAAGCCAATACATGAATAGATTATTTCTATACTGCAGAAATGTTAATTGGCAACTCATTAAAACTTGATTGGTATATGTGAGTGAAAAACAAGATCTTGAGAGTCCCAAAAATGTATTGAGTAATGCAAAACTCTTTTAATTTTCTGTCAGGGTAATGAGTATATATTCTGGTCTTCCTGAAGGAAGCAATCAATACAAAACCTTGTGTCCTAACATAAATGAAACCGGAGCCAGTAACAAGCACCCTCCATGAGTTAAGAAAGGAGAAAAAAGTGTTCAGTCGTAGATGCAAGGCAGTTAATCAGTCATACTCAAATCACAACCATGCATGGCTCTTCCCAATTAACACCAGCCACTGAGAGAAGAGCCCGACGCAGTGCTACCCTACAGCAAGCACCACCGGCTGCCATGCCATTTGATGGATCTCCAGGTACAGGATTCCTGAACAGCCCCACAGGCCAGGCCAGGGCCGTCCAGCGGGTCTTCAGCACGCCGCTCTGACGGGACACCACCTTGCGACGCCCAGCCCGTGGCCCCAGCTCTTCGAGACAATTCGGGGGGCTCCAACAGCACCGGAGAAGAGATTGGGGCCTTCGAGGCCGCCGTCTTCTCCAAACGCTCGCCACCTCGACCGCGCGGCTGCGGGCACTCTGGAGGGCACCTTCCCCCTCAAGGCGGCGGCACGTCCCTCGTACGCACCGTTCGGTCCGGACAACACGGGGCAGACCCCCCCCCGCCCGCGCTCTGCCGAAATCCCAGCGGCTGCGGGCGCCTCACGCCGCCGGGGCACGGCGGGGCGGGGCGGG